CTATTCTATTCTATTCTATTCTATTCTATTCTATTCTATTCTATTCTGAAGTAAAAGGTTTGGTGAATGGTACCATTTTACATTCCTGTTACAGATTAACCAACTTTTGTGGTTTGTCAAGAAGTTTCTCATAAGTTATGTGCTCTTGTTTTCATAGTTCCAAAAATCATAACTATTTTGCATTCAGTCAACATAAAAAGTTACATTGCTTAATTAAAGCTCTGCGCAAGACAGGACTTAAGAGAAAAATGATAGCACCCACTCATTAACCAAACTTTTTAGTGTTGCACTAACATATCACAATGGATAACATTAAAGTTCAGTTTGTATTTCTGCACAAACCATTAATGAATGTTTTTGTTGTTATTTTAAGCATAGAGGACTAAAAAAATCCTGCTTTCTCCCCTTTACAAAAGTAAGATACGGTACATAAGAATGAAAACAGGACAACTCTCCCACAAAAGGATTAGCGTTTTGAGAAGGGACTTCTTTTGTGCTAATTGGTAAAAATGTGTTTTAGAGTAAAACAGAATACAGAACTTTGGATCCTGGCTTAAATTTTTCAAATGGAAAATACTGACTTGGATTTTTAATATTAAATAAATGCTAACTTATCTAAAGACTGTACAGTGTACTATGCCAAATTCACACATTTTTGAATATTCTGTAATTTCTGTATTCTAAGTAGGCATGGTTAAAAATAATATGATTGATAGGGCATTTGACATTGTTGACATATAAGTGTTTATTTTTTTATATCATAATTATTCCACAGCCAGGCATTAAGTGTTTCACCAGGGGGGCACTTGTTGCTTTAAAGTTGTTTTGTGTGTATAGGCTATTTAGTTCATGATTAGATAATTTCTTCTTGTGTGTCATTGAAATGGACAGAAATGGATTAGCTTCTATACCATGGGTAATAGGTTGGACTGGAAGATATTTGAAGCCCCTTCCATCCCTTTGATTTTAAGAAACCTCAGCACCAAAATATGGAAAATGATTCAAAAAAGTAAATGAAATTTTCTGACTTATTTATTGTAAGAGGTGGGAGAAATTAGCCTGTAGATTTCGAACTTAGAAAATCCTTGCATTAATACTTCCGTGAAGGCTTCCCCTTCAAAGTTACTGTGTTTCTATTAAACCTTCTGTTAGAAAATTGAGCTAGAAAGATTGACAAGCACACCCCTTCACTTATTTTAAACACATTTTATTTAATGTAGCTATAAACAAAATTCACATACTGTACTGTACTGAAACATAGTTGTTTAATCATTATTTGTTTAATAAAACAAAATTGGTTGTGTCTGCACAACACACTTAGCTAT